TAAAAAAAATATAAACGCGATTTCAATATACACTTTCACTTAATTTGTTACTATTTAAAAAATGAAATATGTTATCTTTTTTTACTTTGTATATTACGTTATATATATATATATATATATATATATATATATATATATATATATATATATATATATATATATATATATATATATATATATATATATATATATATATATATATATATATATATATATATATAAGCACTAAAAATGACCAACGACACGAACAATAGACAAAGGCTCTACAGTTGTAGTAATGGATAAAGAGACTTACATGGCGGAAGCCCAAAGACAACTCTCAGACGAACGTTTCTATAAGAAACTGGACTCTGACCCTACTAAAGAATTCTCCACCGCCATTACCAAAACTCTTGACGATATGTTTGAGAAAAATGAGATTGGTATCAACGTCTATGAGACCTTAAATCCTATTGACTGTAGACCAGGACAATTTTATCTGCTTCCTAAAATACACAAAGAAGGCATGCCAGGTCGCCCCATAGTCAGCGCAATTGGACACCCCACGGAGAAAATTTCTGAATTCATTGATTTACATCTCCGTCCACACGTAGAGAATTTGCCATCCTATCTCAAGGACACCACGGACTACATTAACAAGACGCCCTCTACTGGCCTCCCAAATCATACCCTCCTCGTGACTATGGACGTCACATCTTTGTACACCAATATTCCACACGATGAGGGTATCGAAGCCTGTAGAGAAGTCTGGGATAGTAGGTCCATACAAATTCCTTCTACAGAGTCCCTTGCTAAGCTCCTTGAACATGTTCTCAAGTTCAACAACTTCATGTTTAATGGAGAACATTACCTGCAGGTTAATGGCACTGCTATGGGTACGAAAATGGCACCGTCTTATGCCAATGTCTTCATGGGCAGACTGGAACGCAACTTGTTACTTCAAGCACCATTTAGGCCCAATAGCTGGTTGCGTTTCATAGACGATATAGAGATGAAGTGGGTGGAATGTCGCGAGAGCCTCGAGGCATTCATTACGTTTGCCAACACCTTTCATCAATCGATCAAATTTACAGTAGACGTATCTAATTCGAAAAACATATTCCTAGATACTACATCTACCCTGATTGATGGTGAAATCGAATTCAGTCTCCACACCAAACCCACAGACTCCCACCTATATCTTATGCCCTCTAGCTGTCATCCCCCACACACTTTTAAGGGAGTGCCTAAGGGTCTAGCCACCAGAATTCGACGCATCTGTTCGTCCCCTGCCTTATATCAGGAGCAAAGTGGTCTTCTTAAGTCCCACTTATGCAAAAGAGGCTACAATGCCCGCACCGTACAAACAGCTATTGATGAGATGGCGGGACATGACAGGCAAAACCTATTACGCTACAAGGAGAAAGACAATAGCGGCAGGGTCCCTCTGGTAACCACATACCATCCCGTCCTTAAGAACCTTAGCGGTATCCTTCAAAAGAACCTACCAATTCTCCATTCAAATAAACGAATGGCAGAGGTCTTTAAGGAACCCCCATTGGCTGCATACAGACGCCCAAGGAACCTAAAGGACATGGTAGTAAGAACCAGACTGGACAACCCATTACCTAACGGGGGCTTTAAAACTTGCTCTGACAGAAGATGTCTTCTTTGCAAGCACAGCACTGACACAGACAGTTTTAACAGCCCTGTTACAGGCCGCAGCTACAAAATACTAGGGAATTTGTCCTGTCATACTGACAACTGCATTTATCTCATCAGTTGCAAAGTTTGCTCCAAACAGTATATTGGTGAAACAGGAGATCTCCGCAGGAGAGTCAATAACCACCGTTCGACCACTAGGACCAAAAAACTCAATGAACCCGTTGGGGAACATTTCAACCTTGAGGGTCACAAATGGGAGGACATGACAGTAGTGGTGATTGACCATAACCCAAGATGGACAGATGCTCAGAGAAAAAGCAAAGAAAAGTTCTGGATGCACAGATTGAAGTCATTCCGCCCTAATGGTATTAACAAACTGAATGACTTCACCAGAATGAACGTAAACTAGACCCAATTCCTGATGATACTAAACAAGATTATTCTCTCAATTTAGTGTAAACTCTACAGTTAATTTGCGTCACCAACTCTCGAACAACTCTCATAACTATGTATTGCTTACACCTTTGTTAATTATTTTTTCCCGGTAATAAGTCCTTAAATATTTCAAAATTTATAATTGATCATAATTCATATGTTTAAATATCCCTGCTATATTATTTTTCTTCTATTATTCTTTATTAAGTAAAGTTACGCCATTTTGAGAGAATGAAACAATGTACGATTTACTGATTGTCGTAATTAATTAGCATAATTAATTCGTTCAATTATGTAAATCGCACTTCGCCCGAGTATACCCGATAGACCGGACGCATTTCATAGCGGTCCGGATTTCTTTCTTTATTAGTGTTTTTAAAAATTTCCAATTCATCATGTAATTAAGTATGTAAATATCTAGTGTTTAGTAGTTTAGTAGTAGTGCTAGTTGTTTTTGTTTCTCTTTTTCCTTTGTTCTTATGACTTTTTAACTTTTTTCTTTGTCCTGAGGAAGGGACAGGGCGTCCCGAAAATTTGACAATTTCTATTGTTCGTGTCGTTGGTCATTTTTAGTGCTTTATATAAATTTCCATCCGTGACCTTGTATCTACTTGGTAGATCCGACATTTAGGATATACAGTGTTGTTGGTTTTTTAGTGCTTTATATATATATATATATATATATATATATATATATATATATATATATATATATATATATATATATATATATATATATATATATTTATATATATATAATTGTAAAATACAATAGATGCTTACGTTCCTTGCAGCCTTCTGCGGGATCACAGTTTTCTTTTGGACATAGACATTTCCCGTCAAGACATCGACGTCCATAATCAGGGTAGGTACAGACGTACTTACAGTCTGGTCCAAAGGTCCCGGATGGACATGCTGGAAGCAGATATAAGGATTAATGTACAATGCATAATTACTGTTTGGTATTTCTAAATATTTTACTTTATATCCATATATGTAATGAAATTCAAGACGTTGTTTGAAAAAGATGATTGAAATACACATCCTGAGGTTGGGTAGAAGGAGTTGTAATGCTTCATTTCTACATAAATATATTTAACTTACGAACACATTTTCCATCCAGAACATGATAGTCAGCACAACATGATGTTGCTTCACCGGTTCTACAAACATTGTACATATATAACAAACTGAACAAAAGTCAGAATCACTATTCAAAGTAAAAGGATTCTACTAAAGCATTGATTATTTTATCACTTTTTGTTACGTTTTACAACTACATAAGCACCATTTGACCTGTTTCAAAATAATATTTATGATAAAAAGATATCTTACTTTAAGCAATTCTCCGTTGCTGATGAGTGAAGAAGAATAACAGTAACTATTGTTAATCTATTTATCAAAATTTTGTGGACCATTTTTGGTCATTGTGAGTAATCCGCCATATATATGATTGAGATGATATCGTTTGAAGTATTATTTAAGGAAGTTATTATGCAAAAAAGCTTTTAAGCTTTCTGATTTAACACTCTAACTTATTTAGCTCATGAATAACATGTTCATAATCCAAAGAGGACAACTCCCAAACAAAGTATTTTCCGTGATATTTTATTTATCGGGATCTATGTTCCAGATGTTTCTCTCCCCTAACGGAATTTTCAGACCTCACTTCTGGATTGAGCTGATTGATACCATTCAAAACATCTCAATAAACAAACATTGTTATCATTGTGTAAATGAAAAACTATGCATTCAGGAAACAGATATATGCATATGATTCCTTATATACCAGTCGGTATATCGCTCGCTCAGTGAGCAGAAGGTCAAGGTTTTAACCTTTGACAGAGAGAACAGAATAGGTAACAATTGTTCCTTTACCAATCACTCGGTTATCTGAAATAAAATTGAGGGTTGTTCGGATGATACCTTAAATTTCTCGCCCCCGTACGTATAACAGTAGGCGTCGCTAAGATCTCTCACTTCTCAATTTTACTTTAATGTAAATGTGAAGTTATTCATTGGCATACTAAAACGTGACATATGAGTTTAATTATCTTTCAAGGGATTGTATACTAAAATAAACGAATGATAAACAATTAAATATTTTACTGATTTTGAGAATGCATGTCTCATAAATTACCTATCCGTACCTTGCAAAGTTGCTTTTAGTTATTTAAATTAATTTATGGATGTTAAGGAAATTAATCATTATGCATGAAATATAACAGCATTCAATCCCAAAAGTCAATACAAGACAGGAGCAGAGCAAACACGAACCTCTAAAACATCAGAAGTAGGATCAGGTGCCATGGAGGAGTGAGCATCTCCTGCCGACCAGTCACACCCGCCGTGTGATCCTTGTCATGATCGGAAAATAACGGAAAAATCCGTCGTCAATTTAGTGTATAAATAATGGAATAAGAATTAGTATGAAAAACGTCAGGCAGCATTTGACTCAATTGCTGGCAAGGTCATTGTATCGACCATAGAACTTACGAAATTATGACTTTATATGAAACAGCTTAAATTCTTGTTTTATCAACTTGTCTGTCAATAATTTACCCCCTTTGTGAAATTGTTCATACGTAGAGCATGCTCTTGTGTATCAAATCAACTGAGATATTTAAACTTCGTATGCAGGTTATGAGGGTAAATTGTTGCAAAAATAAGGGAAGTTGACGATAGAAAGTTTAGTTAATCACGTTTATCATAGAATTCGGTTGTAAAATTACCATTAAGGTCTTTTTCAAGTAAAATATTCAAGTATAAAACAGATGTGTTAGACTCTGTGGTATCTTTTATCTCAAGCTTCCCAAGATTTATCGAATTGACATAGGAATGGATTGATTGATTGTATAGTGTTTAACGTCCCTCTCCAGAATATTTCAATGATATGGAGACGTCACCATTGCCGGTGAAGGGCTGCAAATTTAGGCCTGTGCTCGGCACTTACGGCCTTTGAGCAGAGAGGGATCTTTATCGTGCCACACCTGCTGTGACACGGGGCCTCGGTTTATACGGTCTCATCCGAATGACCGCCCATTTAGTCGCCTTTTACGACAAGCAAGGGGGTACTGAGGACCTATTCTAACCCGCATCCCCACGGGGGACTTAGGAATTGAAATTACCATTGTTAATTGACAGCATGTCGTCGATATATCTAAATGTCGTGTTGAAGGCCACAGGAAGTGTTTTCTTCTTTTCATGTATAAGATTTTGCACTAATTCCGCTTCATATGAATAGAAAAATAGGCCTGCTTATAACGGAGCGCATTTGGCATCCATGGAAATTCCAACAGATTTTGGAAGAACTGTTCTCCAAAAACCACATACATGTAGATATTGAGAATCAGAAACTCAAGCATCTTTTTTTTGTCAACTTCAGAGTACTTATGTGTGCAGTCAGAATGTGTTTTAACAAAATGATTTGCAAATGACCAATGAACAAGTATGTAAATTTACGAGTTCTATTATTATTGAAAAAGCAGCTGTTGATGATATCAAAGAGCGTGGACTTTAATTTATCCTGGGAAATGGTTGTGTATAAAGTTAAAAAGTCGTAAGTTTTTAAGCTGTTGATTTTGGTAAAAAATCTTGTGATTTCATATTGGCCAAAAGTTCTTAGGAATTTTTGAGTATCCACAACTGATTCACACCACGTCTTGAATATATTGTTCACAGTACTCTTGAAGATTCTCATTTACTACTGTTTATATCTTAGAGAGGAGTAAAAAAAAGAGACTTGGTTGAACATTTACTGGAACACGTGATATGTATCTTCCTTTGTAAGAATTTCATAAAGTTTTGGTATCCAATATAGATATCGTAAATCATGCAAATTCATTTTGTTTGTTTGGAATAGAAAAAAATTTCAAAAATTAAATATGATTTAGAGGAATTTCTTCCTTTCTAGAAAGGAATTTATGAGTATAAGTTGGATTACATGTACCACTTGTAAAAAAAAAAAATTAGATCCTCTACAATACTTTTTCTATGATGAGCCTTACAAACAAGAAAAATGTTGTATTATGTCTTGTCAGCAGGGACCAGTACGTACTGATTATGTTTTCCATCTAATTCAGTAGTAATTTGAAGAGGCAAAATCAATTGGGATATTAAAAAATTTCAAAACTTAACCCCGTAAACACATGATCAGGGTATTTGACTGCATAAGTTCGGAAGTTGACGATTGAAAAAATATTCTTCATGTTTATCAAAAAGATTTGTTGTTTGATTATCATTAATGATTTTTTCTATTAAAAATGTGTCAGACCCTGTGGTATCATTTATTTCGAGCTAAAATGGATTAATCAAATGGAAATAATCACAGTTAGTTGTAAACATGTCGTCGATATATCTTCATTTCGGGTTGAAGACAGTACGTGATTTCTTCTTTTGTAGTAAAAGATTTTGAACATATTTTATTTCATATGACTAATTAGCAATATATTTTGCTACCGCCAGATAATTTTGTGGCGGAAACACAATTAACTAGCGGTTGCCACATAAAATTCTCGTGGTAACAAGAGAAAATTTTATTTGCTTGTTATGTTCCAGAAATGAAATTGATGATGAATTTCTCTATTTTTGTTTTATTGTTATGATTTTATTTCTTCTACTCGGCACATAACGGCTTCTGTACAACAGAAATCACCGGAATGCAAAAGTTACTATATAACAAGTTTATTGCCAAAAAATAAATATTTATTTTAATTAGTTACACTTGTCATACGTTATCATCAGTGGTATAGTTTTGCAATATAAATACCTTTTAGTGTTTTTAAGTAATAATTCTCTTCTTGATTGCACACTATTTCTGTTCTTATTATTCTCCTTGGAGTCAAAGCGCTTATTTATTGAAATATTTTTACATTTGGTCTTTACAGAAAATACACAATAAAACTCACGTTCTGTTAATTTCCTGAACATTGTATGAAGTATGAGGTTCAACGTGTGCGTGCATGCATCAAATCTTAAGTATATATGAACTATTGAACGATATCTTACTGATACATGTACATTAAGTTTTTCCTTAAATTGCTACATCGTCAGAAAAATATTCTACATCACCAATACTTTCGTGAAACATATTTCACTTCTGTTCTTTCTGTTTAGTTTTTGATTCAATAATATTTTTGTGCGGTCTAAAATGAATGCTTACTCCATATGGCATGCAAGCCATCTTTAAGATTGTAGGAGTCAGTGTTTAAATTGTTTCATTAACCAGCAATCTTCATATTTCATTAAAAAAATAAATTGAAAGAAAAAAAACGTTTTTATTATTGACTCATTCAAAACATAACAGAAACACTTAAATTATAACTTCATAGTTTGTTAGATATTTCGTGGATAGATAAACATTCATCACTAATGTGAAAAAGATAGCTTGTCCTTTTGTACAACATAATTTTAAATAATAAGCAGTCACTTTCCATAAGAAATTCCGTTTCAAATATAAAATTTTCCTTGTGACAAGGCTTTCTCGCATAATCACCAGTGTTAGATTGACTTGTACGGTGTGAGAAAGCAGTGTGAGATTTTTCTGTCTCACATTGTGTATAACTACGCCGCGAACGATTTAACGTAAACATCCCGTCTTTATATGAAGAAAAATAATCATTCATTACATACTTGTGTAGAAATAGTGAAATTCTACCGAGGAGCCAAGATTCACGGTCTAGGACTCGGCAGAGCCTCGTCCTAGACTGTGAATTTTGTCCCCTCGGTGGAATTTCACTATCCCACACTCGTAGTAATGAATTATTCTATTACTCTTGTACAATATCTTTAGTAGACGTATCTTTTTCAGTGTTTTCGGCTGACATGGGAACATAGTCCTCCTCTTGTCTTTCTTTACTCATATCAATGTACCCGCTGACTTGGGCAGGGGTTTTTCCCATTCCTTTTGGTGGGTT